AGTTTCCTGCTCTCTGATTGGCTGACAGTTTCCTGCCATCTGATTGGATGACAGCTTCCTGCCATCTGATTGGCTGACAGTTTCCTGCTCTTTGATTGACTGACAGTTTCCTGCTCTCTGATTGGCTGACAGTTTCCTGCTCTTTGATTGACTGACAGTTTCCTGCCATCTGATTGGCTGACAGTTTCCTGCTCTTTGATTGACTGACAGTTTCCTGCTCTCTGATTGGCTGACAGTTTACTGCTATCTGATTGACTGACAATATCCTGCCCTCTGATTGGCTGAAAGTTTCTTGCCATCTGATTGGTTGACAGTTCCCTGCCCTCTGATTGGCTGACAGTTACCTGCCTCCTGATTGGCTGCTGTCTATGCAGCTGGACAAACTCGTCCATGTCGCTGACGTCCAGAGAGAGAAACTTGAGGGACCGAACAGACAGTGGGATGTCGTCCTTCCTTCTGATGCTCTCCAACATCTCCTTCAGGGTTATGGGGTCAATCTGACCCTCTCCCACCTGCTGCCAAACCTCCTGCCAATCAAAGCACAGCATCAGGTCATGGGTGTACCAGGTGAGTTTACAGTGAGTTTTTTTGTACACACACAGACCTGCTCCAGAGTGTTGATGACCAGACTAGGCAGGGTGAACTTGAAATACGGCCGCAGGTTTTTGTAGACGTAGATGCAGGGTCCGGAGGCCACAGCCACGGCAGGGATCCGGGGCTCGTGCACATCCATGAAGAAGGCAACAAGGCCAGCAGGTAGGTCCAGTAGGACACTCTCGCTCATCAGAGCCGTGCCCCGGTACACCTTCAGCTTCATGCCGGACGAGCCAGTACCCAGGTCCCCCACCACCAGCCGGCTCTCCCCATCCCCATTCAGGTCTGCCAGGTCCACACAAGACGAGAAGGTGTACAGACCGGCTACCGGGTCATAGTGGGCGTCTAGCCACCGCCCCCCGTCACCGCTGGACTCCGCAGTGGACATGACGGCAGGGTGCTGCTCACCTGCTCAGGTGAGTTCTGCAGGAACACACAGAACAATGGTTTGGACCATTCAGGTCCAGACCAGGAGAACATCAGTTTGGGTCTAACCAGGTTAAGTCAGGTCCTCTGAACGGATTCTTCTTGTTGAAATGTTTTGTCTTTTATCCAGAGGACTTCTTCAGTAGCACAATGGTGCAAATGGTAGAGCTGCTGCCTCTCAGCGAGCAGGTCCCAGGTTCAAATCCTGGTCCAGGGGCCTTTCTGGGTGGAGTTTGCATGTTCTCTCCGTGCATGCGTGGGTTTTCTCCAGGTACTCCAGTTTCCTCCCACAGACCAAAAACATGCATGTTAGGCTGATTGGTAACTCTAAATTGTCCCGAGGTGAGAGAGAGAGAGTGAATAGTTGTTTGTCTCTATGTGTCCCTGTGATGGACTGGAGACCCGTCCAGGGTGTCCCCCGCCCCTCGCACAGTGATTGCTGGACATGGGCACCAGCGACCCCCGTGACCCAAAATGGAAGAAGTGGGTAAAAGATGATGGATGGATGGATGGATTTCTTCAGTCTGTGGAGCTGCAACAAACTCAGTCTTATAAGCAGCACCTTCTCAGAAGGTCTCACTGACATGGTGGTTATGGTTATTCCCTTCTTTGATAAGAAACCCAAACAGGACTCCAGTCAGCATCAGGTGAAAAGGAGGAACCCAGACCCAGACCAGTGGTCATTCCAGATGTTGAGGGAGTATCAGAGAAACTGAGACGTTTATTTTCTAAACATAACGTCCCAGTGGCTTTTAAACCCCAAAATACATTAAAGACTGGTTCATCCCAAAGATCCAGTCCCCCGGCACAAACAGAGCAATATTGTGTATGTTGTTCAGTGTCAGGAGGGTGATCAGTCTTACATCGGGGAAACTAAACAGCCACTGGCCAAAAGGATGGACCAGCACAGAAGATCAACATCATCAGGCCAGGACTCTGTGGTCTACACTCATCTCCAGGTCAGAGGTCACTCTTTCAGGGATGAAGATGTTCACATCCTGGACAGAGAGGAACGATGGTATGAGAGAGGAGTAAAGGAGGCCATCTTTGTGAAAAGAAACCGTCCATCATTAAACAGGGGTGGAGCCTCCAGGTTCAACTGTCCCCCTCTTACAATGCTGTGATTGCTAGTATCACTCAGCCTCTGTGAACAGTAAACAGCCATCAGGTGCTAATGATCCATTGTTAGGCTGATGGTCCTTCTTGAGCATGTGATCAGCTGGTTCTGGTTGTCAGCAGCAAACTGGTTGATCCACTCTGAGAAGGTGCTATTTAAGAGACTGAGCTGAATACAGCTCCTCAGACTGAGGAAGTCCTCAGGATGAAAGACGAAAAGTTTCAACAACAAGAATCCGTCCAGAGCACCTGACTCAACCTGGTTAGATTTAAATGAACAGTTTCTGACCTTTCTGTACGTGCAGCTGTAAATCACACATTAAATTATTAACCCTTTAATGATCAATGACGCCGCTCCCCCTCCCCCTTCTTCTCCCTCCGTTGTCAAGGAGACCGGGTCTGCGTCTCGGCTCAGCAGCGGTCTTTTCTTTTCTTCTGGTCCTCGCAGATCTTTTAGGTTCCGATTCGGTCAGAAACCGTTTTTTAGAGTCAGAAGAGTCCAGGTCTTGGATAACGCAGCAAGTCTCCACTGGACGTCAGTCTCTAATCCATAAATCCGTTTCCTGGGCGGTGATCCTCTTCAGCCTCGGTCCTGCGGTGATGACGTCATCAACAGCAGACGTAAAGCGTCCACCCAAATAGGATAGAAAAAACTACAAATATTTATCTTTTCCTCTCTCATCCAAAATCAAAGAAATGTAGTTCAAAATTATAAACAACATTTATCCAACCAATGACTTTCTGAGACAGGTTTAAAATGGATGTGGATTAATGTGTTTTTCACGTGACATTAAACATCCTTTTGACAAGTTCTTCACCAGTTTGTCTGGACTCATGGGGAACATTTAACACATTTAACCATCCAAGACATTAAATTTGGTGTTTTTATTAATGATCATAACACTGACTACAGTATGAATAATGTTCTGTTTAATAAAAACATACACAAATGTCGCGTCATTCAAACCATCCCTAACTTTATACAGTGGAAGAATGAGTTACATTTGTTTTATAAGTCTTTGTGTTCGGGGAAGTCAACAAATATGTCTCTTTTGAAAACTTTTAATGTGAACGTATGCCCTGGACTTTTATGTTGTAAATACAATATGCCCCTTTAGGTTGTTTAAGTTTTTGTTTTGTTTGTTTTCGTTTTATTATTAATTTGGGTTTTTGTTTTTACGGTTTTATTTATTTTATTTTGTATTCTTCTTATTTGGTTAGATTTGTTTGCTAGTTGTAACTTTATAATAATAATAATAAATTTTATTTCAGGGTGCCTTTCAAAAACCCAAGGTCACACTACAAAAACAATTAAAATCAGCAATTAATAAAAACAGAATCAACAAATAATTAAAATAAGTCACGATAAAACCACACTTAGAACAAAGTTAAAGAGAATAAGCCTGTTTGAACAGGTGTGTTTTCAGTTGTGATTTAAAGGAGGGAAGAGAGTCTGTGTTCCTGATGACAGGAGGGAGTTCCAGAGCTGAGGAGCACAGAGACTGAAGCCTCTGTTCCCCATGGTGACGAGACGGGCACAAGGAACAATAAGACGAGTGGCAGATGAGGACCTGAGGGAACGGGAAGCAGTGGAGATGTGAAGCAGATCACACAGGTAAGGAGGGGCAAGGTCATGAATGCACCTGAACGTGAGAGTGAAGATTTTAAAATTTATTCTAGCTTCTATGGGCAACCAGTGAAGCTGCTGCAGAACCGGGGTGATGTGTTCTCTGAACGGGGTACAAGTTATGACCCGAGCTGCAGAGTTCTGGAGGAGTTTGAGTTTATGGAGAGTCTTATTCAGGAGACCAAAAAGAAGAGAGTTGCAATAATCAATCCTGGAGGTGATAAGGCTATGGACAAGGATGGCAGCAGCATGAGGAGTAAGAAAAGGACGAAGTCGGTTGATGTTACATAAATGGAAGTATGCAGACCGGGTGATAGAGTTAATATGAGATTGAAATGAAAGTGTATTATCAAGTATGACACCCAGACTCTTTACCTGAGGGGAAGGAAGAACATGGGAGTTAATATTGATGGAAAAACTCTGCGATTTGGTTGAAGTGGAGACTGTGCCAACAAGTAAAACTTCTGTTTTCTTACTGTTGAGTTTAAGAAAATTTGAGGAAAACCATGATCTCATTTCCATAAGACAGTCCGATAGGGAGGAAGGTGGAAGAGATGAATTGGGTTTTGAGGAAATGTAGAGCTGGGTGTCATCTGCGTAACAGTGAAAATTGACATTATGTTTCTGGAATATGTGGCCAAGAGGGAGCATATAAATAATAAATAAAAGGGGCGCTAATGCCCTCTCCGGGTCAGGGAGGAGTTCCTACCCCAAGTGGAGGAGTTCAAGTATCTTGGGGTCTTGTTCACGAATGAGGGAAAAATGGAGCGTGAGATCGATAGGCGGATAGGTGCAGCGTCTGCAGTGAAGCGGGCGCTGTACCGGTCTGTCATGGTGAAGAGAGAGCTGAGTCAAAAGGCGAAGCTCTCAATTTACCGATCGATCTACGTTCCCACCCTCATCTATGGTCATGAGCTTTGGGTTGTGACCGAAAGAATGAGATCTCGGATACAAGCGGCCGAAATGAGTTTTCTCCACAGGGTGTCTGGGCTCTCCCTTAGAGACAGGGTGAGAAGCTCGATCATCCGGGAGGGACTCGGAGTAGAGTCGCTGCTTCTCCACGTCGAGAGGAGCCAGTTGAGGTGGCTCGGGCATCTGTTTAGGATGCCTCCAGGACGCCTCCCTGGTGAGGTGTTCCGGACACGTCCCACCAGGAGGAGACCCAGAGGAAGACCCAGGACACGCTGGAGGGACTACGTTTCTCGGCTGGCCTGGGAACGCCTCGGGATTCCCCCGGAAGAGCTGGACCAAGTGGCTGGGGAGAGGGAAGTCTGGGCCTCCCTACTTAGGCTGCTACCCCCACGACCCGACCCCGGATAAGCGGAAGAAAATGGATGGATGGATGGAGGGGCGCTAATACAGAACCCTGGGGCACACCTGCAGCAACGGGAAACAAACTTGAGGAATGGGTTTTAAATTGAATAAACTGAGTGCAACCTGAAAGACATGAATTAAACCAAGCAAGTGGAGTATGACTGATGCCAGTGGATGCTAGTCTGTTCAGGAGGATATCGTGAGAAATAGTGTCAAATGCCGCACTGAGATCAAACAGGATGAGTATGTTGAGGAGACCAGAATCAGCTGCCATCAAAAGGTCATTGGTGATTCTTAATAAAGCTGTTTCAGTACTGTGGTGGGGGCGGAAACCAGACTGGAATTGTTCGTAAAAATGATGTTTATTGAGGAGTGAGTGGAGCTGAGAGGCAACAACTTTCTCAAGGATTTTAGAAATAAAAGGAAGATTAGATATTGATCCATGGTTATCAAAATTATTAGGATCTGAACCAGGCTTCTTTAGAATTGGAGTGACAGAAGCTGTTTTCAGAGAAGAAGGAACAATTCCAGTATTAAGGGAAGAGTGAATGATAGTGGTTATGAGAGGAACCAATCAGAGAGTCAGAGTCAGAGTTTCTTTATTGTCATTCGCACCTCATGTGGTACATGTGGTGGAGCGAAATTATGTTCACAGGGTCCCAGTTACATCCAACAATAAAATGTCTAAGAAAAACAGTGATAACATCTAAGATATGAACTAAGAAAAACATCAACTAAATATACAC